TTTAAAGATGTAAGAAATAGAAATTATTGTTGCTGGAATCAGTAAATTGGTCTTCATTTATGTGTCAAACTGTTCTTTGATATAAACCATGCATGTTTATGTATGGTCATTGCTTTTTGCTGAATTGTCATTCAATAGAGTCTTCACTGATTTTTTGTAGTATATGCTGATTGAACAGAGTAGGTATCTCCATCACTTTTTTATCTGAAGATGAAAGAGGATATGTTCTTCAAAAGAAAGTGATTATTTAAATTTCTAAGACTTGAATGAAAGAGATGATTGATAAAGTCCAGAACAAAGGAAGTAGTAATATAGTATCACCAAAGACATTCAGAGAAGAAACATATATGATCATATTCAGATTTAACATTAGTAATATTTAATAATGTGATAAATTATAATGTAGACAAGTAATGCATTTTTAATGTTTTTCTCACTTAATTTTGTGTGTTGCTACTTTTGTAACATGATACTAAACTAATGTTGGTTTAATTATTTATGTTATGAGCCCTTCAGCAGGTAAGATTTTCACATTGTATATTTTGAAACATTTAAGTGGTTTATTATTCCAGAGAAGTAAAACCTTGTGAATATTTTATTTACTGTGTTCTATAATGCTTGGTAAATCAAAATATAAAGCACACTCTAATTTTTTGTTATATATGCTTAAATTAATATGTTAATAAAGAGGACGTGAAAGAAACACACAAAGAGTGGTGTCATTCTGGAGTATGTATATATTAATAAAAGGCACTTGTATGTTGGTTTTTATCTTGGCTCAGTTCTGTCTGGCAAATAAACACTTATCTCAAGGTAGTATTAATGATGAACTTTTGACTCCAGATTACTCTGAGAAAGATGGAAACACTGCTGTTGTATAGTGTAAGAAACAGGAAATCAGATTCTTGCATAGAGAATGTTTTTAATCAAAATACAAAGTTCATATTGATTGTAGTTTTGTGATGTTTTATATCATAAATACAAATTTGGAATCCTTATAGTATAGCTGTTATTGTTCTCATCACCATCTATTTTATTATTACTTAAACTTGCATTTACTTACAATATAAATGCCATACGTTCAAACCAAATGGATTAAAGAAGTGTGTGTTCTGCTATAATTTATGTCCATCTTCAATTTAACTGATCACATTTCAGTGAGAAGAGAAGATATGAAGTTTTTTGGGGTGGGGGATCTGATAAGTCAAGAAGTGGTACTAATATATGTAATATTAATTTTTTTTCACACTAGAGAATCTGTTTTGACTGAAATATGTAGTTATTTTCTATTATTCAAATTGACTAGTGCCTTGTCTACATGGAGCTCATATTAGTTGAGAGAATAATTTAATTTGTTCCATATAATTTATGGTATGTTTAGTTCTTCTTAAGAAAATATGTAAAGTTGAAAATTTTAAATTAAAGTGATTAATTTTTTCTGTTTGAATTGTGTAGACTGGGCATGAAAAAGTATTTGTTTTCTGTTTCTGATATTGAAATAGTGTTATGCTGTTAATCTTTATTGTCTGTGCTTATCTGCTTACACGTGATCGACAGTGCTCTAACATACTGCTAAACCGTTAATTCTGGAATTGAAATCTGGCTGGCAGCCTTATAGTATTGGGGTTGTAATTCCCTTTTACTATGTGATTAAGGTTAAAGCAGAAAGAATGTCAGCTATGTTTGTGGGATGTTTCCCTACTGTGAATATTAACTGAGAAAGAAGATGTTAGATACATGGGCTGTATGCCCCAGCCAAGGAATGCATCATTCTGTGTCATAAGTTCCTGCCCACTTATATGTATTATCGTCGTTACTGCTTCACAGTCTGATTATATTTGGTATTCAAGGGTGACGTTAAATTTTGAACTGCGGGCTACTGCAGTTCTAGTATCAGTGTAGAAATATGGGGATGCCTCACATACCAATTGTCATTCTAAAATTAAACACAACTAATTATGGACAGTTCCGAGATTTTGGTGGTGGTTTTTAATTCATGGCTGATATTTTACAGTCTTATATTTATATGGGAAGCACCTTATGACATTTCTATGGATGTTATTGGGCAAAGTTGTTTTATAAATGATTGCAGTTGTATTGTTTTCTGTGCTATCTATAGCAGTGGTATGAAGTTTGTCATAGTTGTACTACCATGAAATAAACCTCGCTTTTGGCATGCTCGAGTACCTGTAAGCTGTCTCAAAAATGTATGTGCAATTAATCAAGCATGTTGATGTTTGATGTAATTATATTTTGATTTTCATGATACAAAGGCCAAATTCCTGAGTAATGCATGGTTCTGATAATGATAAACTGGTCATACCACTTTAGAGCAGTTGTTTTCTACCTGAATCTGTTACCAGCAGCATTAAATAATAAAATCTGCATTATAATATACAAATATATTGTAATTCTTAATATATGTTATCAAATAAAATGTTGGAATACCAGAATATGTTGTTTTTCTTTAGCCTGTAGCAAAAAATTAGAAACTTTATTTTTCTGTGAGAAGTGACACTGCTTGTTTGTCTTACTGAGTGTGATAAAAGGATTAACTCTTGACCTTAAAGCTGATGTTCTTTAGACTTTGGATTGAGATTTGAGACTAATATTAGGAACTATTTTAGCATATTTTTTTACATAACCTCAAACAGGAAACCTTGGTAACAGATTTTCTGAGAGAAAGTATTTCGTAGAGACATTCCTATTTTTACTTCACATTTGTTTCTTTACGGTGAGCTGGGTTAGCGCAGTCAGCATAGTGACTGACTACAGACTGGATGACGGGTTTGATACCCGATGGGGCAGAGAATTTTTTCCTTTAGCGTCTGTGTTCAGACCTGCTGTGTGCCCCTCCCAGCCTCCTATTCAATGTGTGCCGGGGTCCTTTCCCAGGGTTAAAGTGCAGCTGGGGGCATGAAGCTGACCACTCACCCTCTATCCCATGCAAAGGTTAAGAGTGAGTAGGCATGGTGAGTGGGACAGATTTACTTTTTCGTGTTGTTACTTTATGGGAATGTATTTCAAGAGATGACTAACAATTTCTTGTCCTCATGCCAGAGAATCTGACTTGTGTTAATAATGTATCTGAAATTACTTACAGTTTGTTCTGGTTGATTTTGTCAGCCTCCTTCAGAAATACAATTATCACTGCTTCAAATGTATATTATTAATTGCACTTCTGATATCTTTCTTGCTAATGAACTGCATGCAGTTGTCATTAGCGTTAATAGGATATCTTCATTTCATTCTATACCTATGGCTGCAATTTTGTGATTTTTCTGTAGGATATGTTATTTCAGCAGAATTTTGCTGAATGTGTGTGTTAACTGAAGTTGGTACGTGATAGGTAAGCTTAATGCTTACACTGAATAAACTGGAGTGTACAAAACCCCAGAGGAAATTGAATGTTATGTACATTGGCTGTTATTGTAAAAATCTAATTAACGTTGATATGTGTCTGTATTATATTTGTAACAATTAAATATCTACGGAGAGTCATAAGTGGTAAAATAAATATACAGAAGACAGGAATTGCACGTGTGATAAGCTATATACCAACTTCCCTCTCATCGTTTTGTCTGTACTCCATTGGTAATTCTCTGTCATTATTAATGTTTCACATCCTGATCCTCACTTCACTCTGAAATGAAGGTAATACATTCCTGTAAAATGTTGATAACCACCTTCAAGATTATTGAATATTGTGGCCAAGCCCTGCTTCATGAAATACTGGTTGATAGCTTCTGTCATCAATGTGTATGGGATCATACTTTGGTAAGTAGTCTGTTTATCCGTAACTCACATGAATTCGACACAAAGTGGAGGGACAAACAGTTAAGTACTAACAGTGGAAGTGCCACATACTTCAGTACACAAAATCTTTGAACAAAAGAACTGGGAATTTTTCATGTTGCTCCATCATTGTTAAGCTAAGCTCTTCCAACTTTGTCACATATTAATAAACAGTTTTGAATGTCCCATATTTAATTTTAATACAGGTGTCATATTTACTCTTGCAAAGTATATTTTAAACATTGGAAAATGCTTAAAGCACCCCGAAGAATCCGATAACTAGATCCACTAGTGTTATAAAACTTCTTGGACTTGATCATTTTATGTTTATGAGTGAATTGTGACTGACATATGACAAAAATAATTTACAAGACCATTTAATGTACATTCACCCAAGTTACATTGTGTTCTGTATTTTATTTGTTGTGATTATTTAAAGTCAGGCCTTTTGACTCGATTCAGCATATACTGGACGTTGTCCACCATATGAGTTATATTGAATATACATGAAATTTCAGGAGTTGGCTATACTGCTATCTTTAGGTGACCAGTTGTACTGACATTTATTTTTAAGTTTGTTATGAGATTTGGTGATGGTTAGTATTGAACCCAGGTACTTAGGGTAGTAGACTGAAAATGCTAACTTCTAGAATGGTGTAGTGTGTTGCCTTTTTCATGAAGTAGTTTCAATTAAAATGATGAATAAATGTTATGAAATTGGCAGTGTTTGTGATGGTGTAAATTCATTTAGGTTCTTTAAAAACAGTTTGCATATGTCACAGTTTTTGTGGCTGCATGTCTGACATCACTGAAAATAATTTACCGAAAGTTACATTATTGTCATCATATCACTATGTAGTTTTTTGATTTGACTTGTTTTAAAGGAAAAAATTGAAAAAGCTGCATGAGTGAGGTCAGTTAAGTGTGGTGGATGTTCTAACAGTGATATGTTTTTTTACCAAAAGTGCTATGTGTAAGGACACATTGTGATGAAGAATCCTTTTTTGTCTGCCAAAACATTTCAAAAATATATGGTAGAATGCTTGGTGGACATTTATTTTGGAAGAACAAGGTCATTCCTTTCATATAAAATAAACCTATCAGCATGATTTGGAACTTTGATTTTAACCTGAATTTAATTCTGTTTCTTGCTTTGATGTGATATCAAGCATCGAGCAATAAGATTATTATTCCTTTGTTTGCAGTATTTGTTGGAAGCTGGTTGGGGCGATGATGGGAAAATTATAGGGGTGACAGAGCCGAGACGTGTGGCAGCTACTACTTTGGCTATGAGGGTTGCTGAGGAAAAGGGATCACTGTTGGGACAAACTGTTGGTTACAGCATTCGCTTTGATGACAGCTTTGATCCAGTGCACACTAAGATAAAGGTAAGGTTTATTATCTTCTTCGATTAAGAGTACGACTTAAAAATATGTGTGCATTTTTTATGTTTTCCCTGATTTAATAACAATAATTTGATTGTTACAGTACATGACTGAGGGAATTTTGCTAAGAGAGATGATGGCTGATCCACTGCTTAGGAATTACTGTGTAATTATGCTTGATGAAGTGCATGAGCGAACGCTGTACACTGATATTATGATGGGTCTGCTCAAGAAAATATTAAGAGTAAGTTACATTTTTAGTAGCACAGGTACTGTAGCAGTTTATAGAATTCTGTAGTGTTTTATGTGGATGGACACTTTTGAGTAGCTCCAGGTTATTGGAGATGTTGGGTTGATATCCAACTTGGAATTTTGATCACAGCATTTCAGTGAATCATCATACCTGTTTCATATTAGGCAGTCTTTTGGTGATACTCTTCTCTACATGTACAGACATTCCATCCCATGAAGTGACTTGCAAAAGTGGCAATAATCAACTTTCCTTTTTTTGTAGCAAACAATGAACATTCCTTGTCAAATTTGTATCACCGTCCTATAATATCTACTTTTCTAAGGAAGAGTGTCAGTAGATTCATCTTTCCGTTCTGTCTCAACAGATGCGATAAAAATTATGATTTAATTTTGGACTTGTCAGACAACAGGGTTTAGGAAGATGTATATTATAAAGTAATAAAAAGTTGTAATCACTTATTAACTGTCTAGATTAGTAAATGCCCTTCAGACATTTCCTGTGCTAGACTGCCACACTTCATTATTTATGTTGTTTAAAGGCTGTATTGTGGAAAATTTTAATGCCAAGTTGTTTTTCCTGAGATATACTCTAACTTAAATTTAGAACCTTCCATAAGACAAAGAGAAATCCAATCATTTTCTGTGTCTCATTTGGAAATTTCATTCAGGATAGAAAACTGAAACCAGTTTTGAAAGAATTTTGTTCATCATATCATTCATGTTTGTCAGATTTACTAAAAAAATTAACAACATTTTGTGCAATAATGTACCGAGATTGTGTATTTCGTAATATTGGATTTGAGAAGATTGCAGATTGTGCTGTATGTTTTATGATTGTGATGTGGCCTATTTGTAGGGGTGAATGTTTTATGACGCATATTGAAATATTTAAATTTTATTTATATATTCTGATCATTGCAGAAACAGAAAAATCTGAAGCTCGTAGTTGCATCAGCAACTGTAGATGCTGAACATTTATACAACTTCTTTAATAATAATACAAGTAAAGATACAACCAAGGACACTGCTGTTATCATGAGTGTGGAAGGGAGATTGTATCCTGTGGACATACATTATGTGAAAGGTATCATATAAACCATTTTGCAAAAGTTATCATTGTTTTAACAAGTTATTGTATGCATTTCTTACTGTATGTCTGATAGACAAGGTTTTATTAAGGAGCCAATGGATCATTTCTGTAGACCTGTAACCTACTAGAACAGAGAAATTAAGACAATCATGGTACTTTAATATTTGTTTCCAAAGCAAGACATATAAGTATTTATAAAGGTGGATGTTCTGTAGTGTAGGAGTTATAATACTAAAGCATATAGTGCATGAAAAGTTGTTGAATTATTTTTAGACACATTCACAGTATATTGTGATATTGTTTGAACAACAATCCTTCTGTTTTGTTGTATTTAATTGAACATGAAATTACAATATTGTGACGTAGGTTGGTTCTTATGCCCTTTATTGTCAACCCTTGCTTTTTGGAGTCTTCTTCCTTGAATCTGATCTGACAAACACTTTTCGCATGCTCAACACTTCGCTGTCTTGCTGCCGCTGTGCCCTCCGGCTCACACACAACTTGCTGTTTTTCAACTTGGCAGCGCCCAGGAATGCGACTTTGTTTATAATCCCCCCCCTCCAAGTTGTTGAAAGATCCAGACCAGGCAGCTCCTCCCCTCCAGTGCGAGTCCGCGGCACTCACGGCGACACGTCACAATATTTTTCTTCTGAGTTGTGACACTGTAAGACTCATAGGTAGCTTTGAAGATTGAGACAGTATGTTTCTCTGAAATGTTGGTATCTATCTACAAGTTTACAGTGTCACAACCCAGAACAGCATCATCATCTTCACCACCATGAGAATCTCAGATCTCAAGAACATGAAACACTTTGTAACATATATGATTTGATCATGCATGGGTTTTCCATTTCAGAACCCATGCCTGATTATGTGAAAGGTGTAGTTGATACAGTTACAGTAATCCATGAACATGAACCGTCTGGAGATGTGTTGGCTTTTCTTACTGGACAAGAAGAAGTAGACAGAGCTGTTAGTCTACTAAAGGAACAAATAGTTGATGATAACGCCAATTGTAAGTTGCATTTATAATCGCATGCACCATTATGATATTCAACTATGTGCAATGAAGTAACACTTTTTGATGATTGGTGACATAGAAGCTGACATATGTAGCTTATCTCTGATGTTGCACAGAAAATTTATTTACATGAGTGTTTGGAATTTGAATTATAAGCAGTGTAAATGATCAAAAGGCTGGGAACAACATGTTGCTTGTAAGATACATGGATTGTTTTATATTTTAGTGAAGCTTCTTATTCTGCCAATGTATGGTTCTCTACCAAATGCAGAGCAGTTGAAAGTTTTCCGTTCTACACCTCGAGGACTGCGGAAGATAGTTATAGCCACAAATATTGCGGAAACATCAGTAACAATCCCTGGAATTGTGTATGGTAATAATTTGATTGCATTAAAATTAAATATTTTTTTAATATCGATGGTGTAACTGGGTTATGTAAACTTACATTTATTCTATAGACAGATATCATCTTTGTAATCTTGTGTGTTACTTGGTACAGCAAGACCCAGGCATGGTCTGATGCTGTGTGGTCTTCAAAGTGTAGTGAAATTGGAGGTAATACTTTCCTCTGAAATGTTAGTAACCGCCCACAAGACCACATAACATCACCGTGACTACAGTCGTTGTCTTTGCCAATAGGAGAATATCAAATCTCAGATTGGAATATGTATTTTTATTTATTATAATGAACATCAATTATTTTAAAAATTAAATCTATCACGGTTTCCAGGAATCAACAAATGAGGCTGAAATTGTGAGGCAGACTGAGATGTGCTATTACACAGATCGGCTTGGTCTTGTAGCATTCATTATGTATACAGAAAAGAAATGTTAATTTTTCAGTTTTGTTAACATGGAAATATAATAATTAAACTTTGTAAAATGCAGAGCTAGTGTACTAGGTAAATTGTGTAGTTTCAATTGAGTGTTCTTTTCAAAATGGATAAGTTTTAGAATTCCTACTTACTACATTTGATTTTTAATCTGTTAAGCTTCTAAGTAAAAGCTATTTAATGTTCCTTCCATTGTAGCACACATAAATTTTATGTGATTAACTGTTGACAGCTTTCAGAACAAAGGATATAATATTTCCTAATTGTCTTACAGTGATTGATTGTGGGTTTGTGAAGCTGCGGTGGTTCAATCCTGAAACTCACACTGATTCTCTGGTGGTGGTTCCAGTGTCTCAAGCATCTGCAGACCAGAGAGCAGGCCGAGCTGGAAGGGTACGTTCAGGGAAGGCATACAGGTAAAAATAAATCAGCAAGTCTCAAAACACTCTAACCCAAGAATGGTGGATTTAAGTACGGAGCAAAATATCACTAATAATTTTTAATGCCTATCATATTAGTTGTTCTCAATGTCCATCATGATTAAAATTTCTGATTTTTGGATGTGGTTGTATCTTGTATGCTCTGCTGCTGTAGGAAATTACTGAATTAGGTTTGAAGTGTCAGAGTTCAAATTAGGTTTCAGTATAAGATTACTTTGTATTTTCAGGAATAATAAAATGGCTAAAAGATGTCATTATACTTATTTAAGTTTAGTATTTTTATGTGACTGTATAACTTACAAATTTTTTAACACAGTTCCATGCAGTTTAGTTTAAAAATTGAATTTTAACACACATATATGTTTATGAAGATTTAAACTTGCAGTTCCTTGGATAAAACCATTTTTTTTGTGTGTTGTTGCCAGATTATACTCTGAAGCAGATTTTAATGCCTTAAGTGCAGTGACACCTCCAGAAATGCAGCGAACCGAGCTTGCTATGGCTATGTTGCAGTTAAAGGCTCTTGGTATTGATAATGTTTTGAGGTTTAATTTTCCATCACCACCCCCAGCCAGGAACCTGCATTCAGCTCTAGGACTGCTGTATGCACTAGGAGCTATTGATTATGAAGGTCAACTCACCAAACCATTAGGAATTAATATGGCAGAATTTCCACTCAGTTCTTTATATTCGAAGGCTCTTTTGATTTCTGGTAAGTGACTTGTCTGATGAAATTAATATTTTGCTGGAAACAAATATTAAAACTCTTTACTCTGACAGTAATTTAATATTTCTTCCCCAAAAATGAAGTAGTCCAATAGGACTAATTCATCTGACAAACTTTTGAATTTGTGGAATATATGTGAATCTGTGTTTTGGTAAATGTATATGTGAGATACATATTCAAAACCAACACTGGAGTCGGAGTATATTAAGAAAAACAAATATTTCACCTGAGGAGGTTAGCTGATCTTTGTGTACAGGTAGAAGACAGATTGGTTGGAGAAACAACAGAAATGTTTAAAGTAAAATAAACCCTTTACTTTGTTATATGACATTTAAAAGACCAGAAACTGACACATTAATTATGTACATTTATTTCAGGTGAGTTTGGTTGCTCAGCAGAAATTCTGTCTATCATAGCGATGCTGCAAGTACAAAATGTGTTCACGAAGCCAAGTAGCGGGCAAAATATTGTAAAAGCACGCATTGCAAAACGCAGATTTGAGGTCAGAGAAGGTGATCTTTTGACCCTGCTTAATGTGTACGTTTCTTACGTGAAACATGGCATGTCTCAAGACTGGTGCAAGAAATACTTCTTGAATTACAAGGGACTGCAAAGGGCCCAGGAGATACGAATACAAATGTCGCAGCTCTTAAAACGATTTAATGTTCCGATCATTTCATGTGAAGGTATTTATAATTCTGTTGTGGTTGGGTTTTGTAATTAGATTTGGATTAGTAACTGTTACATAGTGATCATATTATAGGCACATCTTTTCATTATGGTCATGCAAGAAAATCGAGTCATCAGCATCTGAAATATAGTGCATTGTATGTGTAATTTGAAAAGTACATTTTATGATAATTGCATTACCTTTTTGGGCTTTAAGTTTATCTAAGTAATATGTAAAAATTCAGTTTCTAGTTCAGACAAAACACATCACTTTTCCATTACAAAGATAAATTAATGCTCTTGAGGAAAATAATCAGGGCTTATTCTGAGAATCGTACAAACCCCGTAAATACACTTAGTGGGAAAATGTAGAGTTACAGAATTTTAATGGAGGTGGTGCATATAGTTGTCATTGAATTTTAATGGTTAAAGAGTTGAAAGTACATTCAGACTATGGTATTTCTTTTTACCTCTTTAACAACCATGAACAGTGTGAAAGAGCATAAAGAAATGTTGTGCACTGTTTTCATTGTTTGGGGTTTTCCTATTTCATGTGAAATTTCTTTGAACATTTTTTTTGGTTTTTATTTGAGAGCTCTACTTACACTCAGTTTTCAGTCTACATTTGAAGTAACCAACTTGAAAGTTATTGTACTAGGTGACACAGAGAAGGTGTGCCGGTGCATTACAGCCGGCCTCTTCCCAAATGCAGCCTACCTTCATTACTCGGGTGTGTATAGGACTGTGAGAGGTGACCAGGAACTCTACATTCATCCCACATCTGTACTGTACACACTGGAACAACCTAAGTGGTACGTAATGGTTTTAGAAGTGTTCCATTTGTAAATTACAATTGATTTTTAAATTGTAAGACATATAACAGTTTGGTCGATTTACTTAATCTGGGAAATTTTGTCATTTTGATAATAATATCAGCTTGGGAGTGCATTGTGTTGTTACTTTCATCAGCTAGAATATTTTTTTTCTTATTTGTTACAAATGTTGTTTTGCAGGCTGTTGTTCTGTGAGATCCTGCATACGAACCGAGTGTACATGAAGGAGTTGACTGTGGTGAATCCATCTTGGCTGGAAGAACTGGCATCACACTTCTATGAGAAAGTTGTTGACAAAGACTATTCTCTATGATGCAGAAAATTCTGAACCTTATTCATGAGTTATGACTCTTCGTGATATTCATTGTAGTAATCATACAAAAAATGCATTGTGAACCTGAAAAGAATTTAATTTATTTATACTGTTCATATTATGCTGTATCACATTTCTTTCCTTTCTTTCCTTTCTTTCTTTGTTCTTTTCTTTTCAAATGCCTAACAGGCCTCCACAAATGCACAGGGATTTAAGATCAACACGCAACGTCTTCGTTCGCGTGCTTGTCAAAGAGGCATGTTGTATTTGAGTTGCTGAGAACAAAATAAGGTAAGTGAGATTTAAAAATAATTTGTATATCTTAAATTTGTTGAATATTTTCTGATGCGTATTTGAGAAAATGCAAGCAAGTACTCGCACTGACCAGTGGTGAAAGCCGAGGGATCAAACACACATACAGTGCTGATGCCAGGATTGTTGGTCAGCATCATTTGTGTGGGGAAGGTTCCTGGAGCCTGATTACATCACAGGGGATTTCCTCTACATGGTTGTACAGCAGTTGGGGATTCCCCATGTAGGGATTCCCATGCAGTTACTTCCACACACATACATGCATATAGGTTCCCATTATTGTTGTTGGACTTCAATGAAAACTTGCAATTTGTCAATAATGAATGAAAAATGAATTATGATTATTATCATGTAAGGACAGGTGGAACCAGATCAGCGGTTGGGAGACCCAGGTTCGTTAATGATAAGTTGTCATTTGTAATGTGGTTAGACTTATGATATGATATTAAAAATGTGAGTGTCTTAATGGAAGATGTGTTTACCGAATGTTCTGTTTGTGATTTTATATATCTCACAGACTTTAATATTCATTTATTGCTGATATAGTCTTTTAATGGAACAATTAAAATGTATTTATGTAGTCTTCAGATCATTAAATATGTAGTCTCTGTGATTTAAATGTAGGATGTACAGAGTGGGTGGGAAGTAAGTAGGCATTAAATAATATCTGTGCATTGGAAATGCCTATTTACTTCCCACCCATTCTGTGTATATGTAACGCATGCAGAACCCCTTAATGTGTCGAGGTACATACCATATTATACGAAAGTAAAAGGAAAAATGTACATATTGAAGAAACTGAATATTTATTTAGAGAATTGAATATATTACAGGGAACAATGGTTAACTCATTCGAATGGAATTTACGTGACAAACTTTGTTACTAATTAATAGGCTACAGATGTACTCGGAGACCATTCAGAAGATTGCTGTGGTGATTGAGCCTAATCCGTGGAGATCAGAGAAGAGGGTGATGTTTAAAAAGTAATTGGGAAGGAGTAGGATTTTGAGAGCAACAGTTGCTTTTAAAGGTTTGAGTTAATCATTAATTAACAAGTAAACCAGCATATTTGTCCCTCCACTAATCTTTATTGCGGCAGTCGAGTATGAATAATGGGATGGGGGTGTGTATAGAATTTACTGGACATTGTGAATAATGCTCTACAACTTCAGGATGATTTATAATGATTATTTACAATTTGTATATCTTGGTATTATGTTAGCAGGAAAGCAAGTAACATTTTGACTTGTTTTTGAGAAGTTTACAGAATAGGTATCTTGATCGTACAAGAGTTACAAACTACGCATTTTGGTTTTATGTACAGGAGATTCTGTTCAGAGTGTCCAAAAACAAATTCAAATTTAAATTGATAAACAGACTGGTTAAAATGTTAGCTTTCCGAGATTTTACGTGATGAGTAAATTTGTTACCACCACAAATGCCAACTTGCTCGTTATTAGTGATTACACAAATGTTGATGCACGCTGTTGTTTTTGTTGTTGAAATGCAATATTTATTATCAAGATAGATTTGATTTACATCGTTTATTTTGGTTCTTTCGTGAAGTTATATATTCATTTTTCACAAGTTACAATATTGAAAACAGGATTACAAGTGTTAGATTGAAATGTTGGGATCATTAATAACAAATGTAATATTTAACTATTATCCTATTTCCAGGTGCACGTCATCATATGATAAAACATCAACAAGCGGACAGTTTGCAAATACCGTTAGCCATTTAAATTTCTTGTTATTAGTCTTCAAGAACTGAGAGGGTTTTTAATTTTAAGCAAGTCTAAATAAGAAATGATATACCACAGTTCTTCTTTTCATAAGTAAGTCAAGTGCATTTTTGGGTTTGCTTTACAAATTTGGGGACATAACCCCACAAACATAGATTTATTTCTTTATATATATATATATATATATATGGATGTAATTTAATTAATATTAATCATAGAGCTACGTAGAGAGTAGTTCTATTAACTAAAGAGTATCAAGAACACTTCATTCATCATAGGAATATTCATCCAGATGATTATCTGCCTGAAATACCACCGAGGACAATTTCGTAAACATTCGGCTAGAAATTCCTCAGTGGAAAAAAGTTGTGTTGCATTTATTGGCTGTTCCGTGGCAGAATTTTAATATACGTAATAAAATTCTGCCAATTATAACAGGTGCAATAATAATTATCACCTACAGCATGGTCTGGATATTTAGATACATTCCAGCTTAAAATAATAATAATTTTAATAACTTATAATTGTCTGAAGTTTGTTTCATAGAATTATATTAGTTTTCCCTTTCAGTGATTCATGACGACTAATTAGAATGTATTTGCAAACGTTACATGTAGTTGTCAACGGCGAATTTATTTGAATATTCGAATGATAGGGGAACTAAATGCGTAGATTGGGGACTGGATGGGCTCTACGTCCTGATATTGGACTTGAGCTACATAACCTTGAGAAGGGGCACCATACGCTGGGAAGGCACCCCTGGGGTTACCATTCGTTGGGAAGGCACTGCTGGGGTTACCATCTGGGGTTACCATTCGTTGCACCCCTGGGGTTACCATTCGTTGGGAAGGCACTGCTGGGGTTACCATTCGCTGGCAAGGTACCACTGGTGTTACCATACGCTGGGAAGGCACCGCTGGGGTTACCATTCGCTGCCAAGGCACCGCTGGGCTGGTTGGGAGATGTCGTGAAGATGACTCGCTGAAGACGTCCATCAGGGAGCAGGATGTGGTAGGCACCGCTACTTTGGCCATCTCGCTCCCTGAAGGTCCTGCTAGGGTCGGCACCATTGCCATCAGCAAACTCGGGCGTTAACGCCTGCTGCCGAAAGCAGTTACGACATATTATGATAACGCTGGAATTTTCGAATACATTTGAACGGGAAAAGAGAGAGAAAGAGATGAGGACATGGCACAACCAAGTGGGGGTAGCGCCAGAACACGTTCCCAGGCACGGTTTCTCCTGCTGGCATCATTCCACAGTCGAGAGTTTGGTACGGAATGCAAAATAGTCCGCTGGACTTACTACAACCTTCCTCATCAGCCATTTATAATTTATACCGTGTACTATGAGCTTGAATTACCGATGGCATTACTAAAACGGTTTGCAGGTCTTGCGAACGAACTAGAAAGTATATATGATCACGTTTATACGCTTAAGTAATCGTTTGTGAAGTAATGGTTGACATTTTTCACTTGTTGAAGACGTAAATTTAGACAATTGAATCTATCTTGTAACACGCGAAATTGTGCTTTTGAAACGTTACTTGAATCCTAAAAAAATGAATATTTGTAGCAGCATTACCCTGCCGCCTGAAGGTCTACGTATGTTAAGTTACGCGAAATTAAGCTAGAAATTGAAACTGTGTTATTACTGTGTGTAGAATTCATGCTGATATCCTGTTACGTATTCATAACAACGCTCTTGTATTACTTTCATAGCGTGATTGCGCTGGCTAGAGAGAACGTGTTCATAAATACGTTTTACTTTCTGCTCATCCTTTCATACTATGAAAGCTGCCTTTTAACAAAATGTCTAATTCTTAATATGACGTACTGTACGTAGACTATTCTGGATACTTCCCAGCCGGCCGGCCGCTGATTCGGCCTAGCGGGCCCCTCACCGAAGTACTTGTTGCAACTAACCAAGTACCTAGGTCGAGATTGGAGTTCGGAGTTTTACCCGTATGTCCTATACTTTTGGCATTGTGCTTATGGGTCGATGGACTGTCAAACCAGGATCCTGAGTTGATGGAGTCTGTGATCTGGCCACGAGATAGTAGGAAGAGAAACCCAGAATATGACCAGAGTCCCTGCCTCACCTCGGTTGTGTCGGGAACTTCAGTGGTAGTTGGCTGCTCTGTGGTGGTGGTCGCCTGCTCGGTGGTTGGCGTTCCATAAGCTGCCGGTGGGGCGTAGTAGGTCTGTCGAATGGGTAACAGGAACTGACGTCCTGACGGGCGCCACCCGGACGGTGCGTACGGTGCTTCCTCGACTTCTGAAGGGGCGCCGTAGGAACCTCCGCGGAACCGCGGTGGTTCTGGTTCAGCCGAGACAAGAACCACGGCCAGGAGAATGGCTGATGTGACGCTCATTACCTGTACGAAGATTAGGCTTTGAATGCCGCGTGTCTGCTTTGGACTATTACTTGTCAATCCGTAAACTAATTTTGCGTAGAACTAGTTTGAAGACCAGCATGCCCAAGGAATGATTGAATATAATGGGTTCAGTTGTGCTACGTGCATAGCTGAATAAGTGTTTTCAACACTAGTCTCGTTATGGGTCTTCCATCGTTCTGTATAACGTCCGAAGACAGTGTTTAAATACATTTGTTTAGTTAGCTTGTAAATGATTTGGGTGCTTTATATGATTTACACACGTTATTTAAGGTGGAAATTTTTTGTTAAGATGTAGCATTTAGAAACAATTCCAAAGAAATCTGCGTTATTAATTAAGCATAGGCTACATTTATCTGTATGCATACTTCTGTTTGATTTCTACGTAATGCCAATTGTGAATGAGCTACATAGGGGATTACGTTATTTCTTTATTTATTACGTATGAAGTACAATATGATATATTATCATAATATTCAGTTGCAATTTTGAAATTCTCGAATTTGTCACTTTTAGTGTATGATGTGTTGCCTAACTTTCTATCACTTCATTTAAACAACGTGTAAAATGCTTATATATTTTTCGGAATAAGCTCTTTGTTTTGTTTATCTCACTTATTCGTTTTTTAACATACGAATAAAAATTCCTGTATGTTACATTACTGAACTACTGTCGTCAGTCCTGTGATTTTCTTACCTTCATGGTTGTATGATGCAGTTGTTTCGATGTTCACCAACTGAAGTTACTTGAGGATGATACCAAAATGTACTGATGCCTTGGAGTGTTACTTCTGGCACTTTTATACGCAATAGAAACTCTTGGCCATCATAGTTTTGACATTGGCCCCATAATATTACGTCACACTGCCCATTGTATGTGTTTTGTGACACAGCTATCGGTTGTGATTCACATGCATTGGTGACAGTGTTCATCGGCCTACTACGTGGCTTACATCAGTAATTTGGCGAATTTTTCTTTTGCTGTGATGTTCATTGGGAAGTAAATTTGGTAATTATACACATTACACCTTTAGAGAGTATGATACGTTATAATGTAGTTGAGAAGTTACTTTATTTTCTGTGAAATACGATCAATGGCAAAATGTAAGTAATAGTAATACAGAGCATTGTAAATTAAATAATGGATACTGGTGGTATTCACATCCAACAGTTATTTTATTTATTTACGTATAAAAGTTGACATTAAACTGGAAAGGCATCTAATGTCTGTAGATATCCGTCTCTACCTCTGAAGAAACTATCTAACTTATACCCGTGGCATTAATTTTTAGCGTTAAATATCATGACAAATTAACGTAACGTTAGTACCTCGTAAATCCGACGAAGCTTATAAAAATTGCAAATTCGGTGACATTTTCCGGAGTTCGTCATGTCAATTACACAAAAATACTTTAATTCTTGTGACAATGGTTATAACGATTCAAAAGCGACATGTTTTGGTCAGAATAAATCGTCTTCGGATAATAAAAAGAATAAATCAATATATGAAACATACGATTATTATCTTATCATTAAATGTTGTGTAATGTAACTCTTTCTTATGTGTGTCTGAAATATACAAAGTCATTCAGTTAAACATACGTAAATTAAAAATTACCGGGTCCATCTTGCCTCGTCTCATCATGGGTGCATGTAAGATAGGAAAATTTTATATTAAAAATGCGGTGAGCACACATGATTTTGTTGGGACTATTTAGTACTGTTTAGCTGTCTACCCTGAGGCTTCAGTTGAACTTGTGTGGCCTGTGGGCGTTGTCACAGGCGGAACAGTGAAGTGAGTTGTTGTGTTGTTCAAGGTTGTGTGTTCTGTGAACCTGATCGTCGTAATAGGAGGGCTATGTAAGTAGAATGCAACAACTTTTCATGTATGTTTTAATTGAATGACGTCCATATATATTACACACACAATACATAACACTTCATGATAAAATGCCACTACTCTGCTTCACACAGCCTAGGTTTTGTAAAGAACCTGAAGATGGTGTACTTCGACCGAAACGTTGCTTTAGAATTGGTATAATCATTGTGTCATAATAATTAAATAATTTGTGTGTGTCGGTGTGGTATAATTTATATAGGTCAGTGTATCCTGTGGGATGTACTTACAGTAAACTTGGTGCATTTTTTGCTGTAAGGTTGGGGATGCACGTTACGTAATTTTTTTGTCTTCTTTTTGGCTTCACGGTCTTATACTAAGGTATTCAATACGCATAAGACAAACACTTTGTCGTGCGCAAGTTGAGAACGCTTGGGGAACTTCCAAGAAATAAACGAGCTAGACACGAGGTAATGTTCAATGTCTATTCATCGTACGAAACTATTGCCTGTAAGGAACTGAACATTTGACAATTGTGACAACATAATTTAATGGGTAGATGAATTGAAAATTTCTATCGCAGAGATAAAATAATTTGAGAAAGACGTAAATTGGTTCTGTTGATCGTTAGGCTAGGCAGAATTTTATCTTAAGTCTGTGTGTCGTACTTGTGAAACTAAGGCGTTGGTTTAATAGGTACCTCCGTTGAGAGGGCAGAGCAGAGCTGCCTCGTATGTAGAAGATGTTTAAAGGGGAACGTTAATTAAACGTGTGTTATGCACGAAGGAACACGGGATTGTACGACACGCTTTATCATGAAAAATATATGAGGAGACTGCAGAAATTCTAGAATGACTAATTCCAAAATAGACTTGTACGTTGTTAGTCGTGACTCAGTGTACAGTGTTCATGATGCTAACACTGACTGCACTGCCAACGAACGACTTTACACGTGCTACTAAAGAGAAGCTCATGTACTTATTGCATTTTTCTCTTAAACTATATTTTGCAGGTTATGTCCCAATTCTCGGTGTACACTTTTCAGATGTCGGCGGGGTTATGCTGACTACGAAAACAGTTTTTCTTCATTTGTCGATGTAAATACCCACAGCTTTTCCTTTCTCTCGCGACTTTGATACATGGCACTCACTTCGCTCGTACGATCCGATTCAAATTATCGATAAATAACCTGTGAATCCAGTAACAGATCCTGATTTTAGCATTCAAATGGATAAATTTTAGAGTCTTGGGATTGTTTGACCCAGGTATGAAGTTAATATATGTAATATATATATATATAACTGCAGTCTGCTATGGTTTGACTTCAGTGAGTCTGTAAGATGCCCTATTTCTCATCGGCACAGCGTAGGAGAAATACACACGATCTACTTTGAAACAAATTGATCAGTACGATACAAATTTTTGCCAAATACAAAACGTAAGTTTACAGAGACAGCATTTCTGTTTGTCTGCTCGTCTATGAGCTGTTTAGTGTCTTTAGTGGGCTTTTTGAGTTATTTTATGTTTAACAATGAAGTGGCAGCTCAAATTTCCTGTAAATTTATTATTGAAAGTCAATTATAAAACTGGTAATCGCGATAAGACATTTTTTGTCTTGTAAATTTTATTTAATTAAATCGGGGGACACCCTGAGGCTGCTTTGCTCCAAGGTTTGTAGAGACATGATAAATGATTTACATAAATCGCGGAGTAACGTAATCATAGGCAACTTTACCTAATTTTATATAACATTTTTTTGTTTAGAGGTATGTTGATGTGGTATTTTGGGGTTTTTGATACAATGTGGTCTTGTAGGTGGTTACCATCGTTTGGAAGGAACGCATCCTTTCCACCTTCAGGGTGAAGATGTAGTGGGCAGTTTCACACACAGTGTCACTACCCAGATCACCATTAAAATCTTCACCACCGTGAGAACCTCGGCTCATTTAGAGGCATTTTTACACCTGAAATTTTCCGTCGGATTCTGAAAGAGTTTAAATATATTATGTGAAGCTTTCACGGCTGCTTTCATTAATAAAGTCGGCGATTAATCACCATCTAACACGGCTGATAGCCCTAGAAGATTTTATTAATTAGAGTTTAAATATGTTTCACCTTCCTTTGGAATCTTTCTTCGAGTAAAAATTTATGAGGTCCGATTCCTGTCGCAACGAGACTGACGTATAATTGCACAAGACATTTATTTCTAAGTTGAATTATCGACGCAGGTCACATGGAAGTTTCTTTTGTTTCTGTGCTCCTTTCGACCTTCACCCGCATCTATTTGCCTCATTTATCCAATCGGCTACGGCTATCGGAATATCACAATTGTCATAAGGTTAGTCGTAGTTTTAGCAGTAGAATACATAAGTACATTTTGGTATGAGGCAAGTTACCGCTGATGCCAGTCTATTGTTAATTTATGTAGCGTGTTGCCTGAAACTGCCGTTGTGTAGGCTGTAATTGCTGTGCTGACATAGCAACACGCGTTACATGATCGATGTTTCTTTCGTTTGCATGTGAATTTTAAACAACTATGTTCGGATTGAAACCAGTCTAATGATGAAGCCATTGGTAATCCGTATAAGCCCTGATTCTCATTCAATTTACTAAATTGCTTTACATTTGATAGGGTTTATCCATCCCGTCTATGCATCTTCATTCATAATCATATGTGAAGGCGACATGTTTCAACTTTTTACAGTCATCTTGAAGCCTATACTAATTGGTGGTTACATGATATCTGTATTTTACTAATAACGAGATGGCCATTTCAGCTACAAATATGGAATTTAAATCAGAGTTAGCTAGTAAACATACCCACAGATTTCATATAAAGAATTTTTTTATATGTGAAATAACAGAGACATTGTGACGATGTCAAACTCTGAGGTTGTATCTTACAAGTTTCTTGTCGTATAATTGCTCATAATATATAAAGAATTTACTTCTAAGAATTTGTTTTGTGCTCCCCCCTTGGAAATGAATTTCTGCGGCTGTAAGTATCAAACAAATTTTATGAATTTAATGACATTCTTACGGTAAATACGAGGTTTATCATATTCCATTCTTAAAAGGATTTTAAGAGTGCCTTTATATCGCTGACATGTACTTCTCATTGAACGCTGATTCTGTTGTAAGGATTTTCTTTCAATTTGATTCGGATTTGCTCTTCGTGATGAATTATAGTGAGAACATAGCATGTGAACAGACCATTAACTCATTGGTCCTGTATGAATCTGTTTTATTCTCGTAAGCAGCTTGAAACTAAATTTATACCTCGTCTGTTGGTCTTCGATGCCTGTCACTCCAAATCAATCCTTTACCGTAAAAATTGTTTTGGGAAGGATTGACACACAGAGAGCATTCAGAGAGAAAATCTACTCTTTCGAGCATTGTATGAACAAAGTTTTGGAATTTATGGTTTATGTAAACTGCAACAGCGACACTACACTGCATTTTGTCTTAATATATTTGTTATTCAGCGACCTGACGAGTAGTTAAAAGTCCACGTATGTTAATTAGAAAAAATTGTACTTATTCATGTGTGGGTTGTTTTCGAGCCCAGAACCAGAGTAACTACTCTACCACAACATTCGATGATCTTTCGCAAATTTCTTAGATTTTAGAAAACTGTTTGGTTAATTTTGAGATCCGTGATAGTATCAGGGATCAGAATAAATAATATGGTACCACTTAACTTTTGACTTTTTAATTAGCGGTACTATTTCGGACGAATGATTTTATGGTAAATATTCTATTAGGAAACTTTTTTGTCAGTTAATTTCCCCCAACGCAAGACAGTTTTGTGTTAAAATAAACGGAGTTGATTTACGACAAGCTCAGTTGTGCAACATAATATCAGTACTGCCATGAAGTCGATATCTGATGAGAAACAACCAATCTCTCGGTACAGAGAGTTTCTGTTGGAGTAGAAAGACAAATTTTCGTTAGAGCTTTTATCATTTGCAGGTTATAGGCCTATACATGGTGCCTGTTTCTCAAGCCATATCGGATGAAAGATTGATGGCGAGCATCTAACATCCAGACACGCAGAGAAAGTGATTAGCATCAGGCAGTTTGTTTGTTCGTGCACGTCGTATTATTGGACTTGTTTAGCTCTCAGCTCGCCGTCACGATCGTCGCACCTTTACGTAGATTTAGTCCCAGAGTCAGCTCGGACACGGGCAGGTCAGAAGTGTGACCCTAACGAATTATCCCGTCTTTATTCCCTTCTTTATTTATTTCTCATCCCGTATTTCTATTTTATGTACCTCTTGACCATACAGCAAAATTGTTAGGAGGTGAAATAAAATAAGTAACTTAATTTCAGAATTTAGGTTCTCACGGCGGCAAGAATTAAGATGGCTGTCTTCTGGGTTGTATGATCTGAAGCTTTCACGGCGACTAAATATAATAAATTCTTCTCGGGTTACCAGCCGTGTAAGGTGGCTTAATGAAGAAACACCACGACAAAGATGGTCCTCGAAACGTTGGTGTTTCTTCATTAAGCCACCTTACACGACTGGTAACCCGAGAAGAATTTATTATGTCTTCTGGGTTGTTGCGCCGTGTATTCTGGTAGAATTTTACCGACGTTTCGTAAGTGCTTGCTGCCTCCATCATCAGGGCGATTTTCGTTGTTTGGAAAACTACGATTTTCAGTACACAGTTCTAACTGTTTTTCGCGATAATTTGTTAATTTAATTAAAGCTGTTTTTATACATCACTCTTCACGTTTTAAACCACGGAATTAAAACACGAATTCGTAAGTCTGGTTGAGGAGCACTGAAACCTACCAGTTGTGTTAGAACATGCACCTCAGAGGCGTAATGAACAAGTTCTTTTTCTTGTGTCTGGCAGCAAAGAGCCGACCGAGAGAATTCTGCTTCTGTGTTAGGGCGTCTTATAGTTAGTTGCATTAAGTTGTGCAAGTTAAGACACAGGAGGAGGAAACTACAGAAGAAAGTGCTTTCGTTGCCTGCACACTTAGACTGACAGGTGCTTACACTTCGGGAATGGT